TTTGAAATATTCCGTTACTTATGATTTAAATAATATGTACCTATGTGAAACAAACATGCCAAAAGCAAAACGCCTGCTTTTTAAACATCTTCTTCAATACAAACAATGGAGATTTGAATTGCGAGAATAAGGACAATTTTTTTAAATTTGGACCACTTTTATTGTCGTTATTCCCACAAACCAAATCTCCATCAAACTTGAAGGAGGCAAACCGAGAGGCAAACTCTACATAATGATACAAACAATATTTCTTTACTACGCGGGTTTCGGGAGGGAATTCAGCAACATTTTAAATGAATTCAAGATATATTTGATTGTGACGATGTTTGACAGGTCATTACACGAATAATGGAAGTATACTTCAAAAAAGTAATTCGTTGTCTGCAAAAAATCTGTGAAAGTAGCATTTTGGAACAATTTGTCAAATCCACTCTGTTTTAAATTCAATAGGAGAGCGTGCAAATGTTCCTATTGTAAAAAATATATGGATGGTCAATGAAGAATTTTGAATATGTGAATGAACTATGACGTAAAAATTATACTCCGAAATAGTAGTAAAAATAAGGAAATTATCCATAACTTGACAACGTCGCAGCCGATTATGATTGTTTTTCAGAAATAAAAAGGTGAAAGATGTCGGAATGAATTTGTGGAAAAAAAATACAGGGTGTTAAATTTGAAAAATTCTAATGAATGCCATCTGAATCTTGAGAAATTCTAAATGCGAAATAGAGCACCCTGTTGAAGAACATGTCGCAAAATTACTGAATTTGTATACGTGAGACCTTGCTTCTACCGTATGCCAAAAATATTTTCAAAATTTGAAAAAATGAATATACCATGCCCAATTCAACATGACTCTTCAATAGTGGTAAAAATAGATTTATCAATTATAACTTGGCAACGCCGTAACCGATTTCAATTTTTTTCACAGCGATGTGAAGGTAAACCTCAGCGGAATAAATTCCTAATGAACAATACAGGGTGTTTCATTTAAAAAAACTCGTCTCCGAGTTATCCCGCTATTATAAAACACCCAGTAATGTTGAAAATATTTTTGAAATAAGCAATTAAAGTTACTGAAGAAGTTTATCCTTTAAAGTTTTTTTCTATAGGTTATGGCTTTGGAGATATCGAAGAATTACGCACTAAATGGACACACTGTTACATTTGAATTTCCATTTCAATAATGAATATATTGGTAAATTATATTTTTATATCATTAGACATCTTATTATTCATCCGATTTGAAAGAAAATGTCAATTCTATATCTCAGAGGATTTTCATTTTCATGTTCTCCTTTTGGATGTTCAACAGATATATATTCAATGTTAGACGTGGCAAATAGCCAGGAAATTAGTTGATTCTTGGTTGAATATTCATAATGATAGTATGTGCATACAGGGTGTTAATTCAGCTGATTTCAAGGAGAAGAGTACAGGGTGTTGAGATCAGAGGCGCACATTTTACATTTTCTTCTGATCAAAACATTCAAATCAGTGGAATTGAAACAAAATGTGGGTGCCTACCATAATACCAAAAACAACCTCGATGCACGTTTTTAATTTTCTTAGGCGAAAACGGTACATCGTATGAAATTAAGTCTTTTTGGCCAGCGTAGCCTCGTGGTTAAAGCGTCAATGTTCTATCCACGTTGGATTGCCGGTTAGTGGGTTCGATTCCCAACACGATCGTAGAAATTTTTCTGATGGCTTAAGAAAGTGTTTGGGATCACACGTTAAAAGGCGAGACCTCTGTCCTCGCCCTCGTCATTCCTAGCTTGCACAAGTCTCTTGAAGACTTCTGAGGGTTGCTCGTAAGGGGGCAACCAAATGATGGATAAGAACAATGTTAGAACAATTTTTAGACAATATTTTTTCCAAAATGACTGGGAACTCCAAAATTGATTCCGGTTTTGAAAAAAGCAGTGGCGAACCATTTTTTCCTTCTAGAATTTTCAGCTCAAACCCCGTTTGGTCCGTCACAAGTGAAAATTTTAAAAAATCTGTATGTCTATAGAACAGCAATAAAGCTCTGGAATTCTTTGTCAAAGGAAGTATTCTAATAACTTATAATTTCCGCAAAATTTCAGAAAAAGTTCCATTACCTACCTTCTCTCCCTATCCTACATTCTAGGGATTCTGTTTTGTGCGTTCCAAGAGATAAAGAACAAATAATCACGTCTTCCACAAAATTTCATAGAATAGGTCATGAAAACCATCCATCCACCTGAAAGTGGTCCAAATTATTTTCAAAGAAAAAACAGAATAACACTATGTCGGTCGACCACACAAACTATAATACAAAATGTATTGTGGCTAGTGTCGGCTCAAACAGCCATCTTCAGACACACTAGTACGGTTCAAAACTTTGAGTATTTCTTTACCGGACTGATTTTTTGGTCGAATCACAACACGGCTCTTTTTAGTTTTCATTTTTATAAATAGTGACTTCCACATGGCCTTATTGGTACTGCGTACTGATGTGTCTGAAGATTGCTGTTTGGGCCGAAACTAGTCACAATTAAACATTTTAAAAACTATTGATTGCATGAAAAGGAGACTTCAACAGTATGATTGTAGTTTTTAGTGATCTTCCAAATGGTTTGAACGATTTTTGAGAATGAGAAGAAAAGAAGAATAAGTTGGAGGTCATAACTCAGAAATTTTTATTTTCAACGAAACCTGACAAAAACATTAAGAAAATCACTGAAAAGTTCTATTGGAATGTTGAAGTCATTTTATCATACAATCAATAGTTTTTTTCTGCAACCGACACAAAAGTCGTCCATTTTGATACCAAAATTAGCTCTCAAATTGACGTTTCTATTACTGACACAAAAATAGGTATGTTGCTAGGCAACATATTTAGTTCCTAGGAGCTAAAATTCAACTTTTGTTCCTAGGAGCTAAAGTTGAACTTTGGCTCCTAGGAACTAAAAAAGAAGTACTGGACGTCATCAAGAATAAACAACATTGTTACCGTTGGTTATTTGGGTTGAGACGCATACCTGATTTGTTTCCGATTTCGGCAGATTTGGCATTTCATACCCATGCTGGAGATATAAATACATCTTATTATAGTTAAGTATTGGAATTATGAACATCTCAGTTAAGTATTTTTTCTTGATCAGGGAAGCCTTCAAGATTCAAATACTTGCTGGATCTGTATTTCATTCGTTATTCTCGGGATGGATAACTTGTTTTTGAATAATCACGGCAAGCAATAGTGTTTTGTCTCAAACAACGATATTGTTTACCTTCATTTGATTATAAAGCGAAAAACATATGGGGAGGAATAAATAATCGCTATTATTATTGTTGATATGCTCACTAACCTAACATTTTCCACGTCTTGTTCCTATAGCTGGCATTGGCGCGGTATTTGCCATCAGAGTACCTGGTCCATACACAAATATGTCACTCTGTGATTGTATTTATATTGAAACTGTAATTCGAACATCCTTGAAAATTAAATGAACCTGCTGTTGATGCAGGTAGAATGTTCTCACTACACGGATTATTTGTCAATATTTGTTGCATTGCATACATATGGCACGGCATTGGTGGTAACTTCACATATTTATTTGAGTTAATTGTTTCGGTTGCAGAAAAAATAGCATGTTCCATTCGGATCAAAAGTGACTTTGTTCGACTTGCAAATTTTGCTTTCGCTCGGCTTCGCTGAACGCTCCGCCTCGCAAATGCAAAATTCGCTTGTCAAACAAAGTGTCACTTTTGATCCTAATAAAACAATCTACTATTGTGATGTTGGAGAAAAACGAAAATACAAGATTTCAGTTTTTCTTCAATAACTCAAAAAATCCTTGAGCTAGTCTTGATGTCTCCGCGAATTCTGAATCAAGATTGACTTTGCTCAAATTTTCATGATTCCATAGTTAACCAGATCCCAATTATGAGGATCGAATTTAGGATACACTATATAATGATAATATCGTAGTATTAATAAAAATAATGATTATAATATGGTATGACTAATCATCATTATTACAGTATATATTTTTAATTTTTCTGCCTGCTGTAGTATGTTATAGAAATTAGGGCATCTAATGCATGGTCATAAAACAAATGTATTATTGATGGATATACAATGGGAGTACTATTCATTCATGACTCATACTTATTTTATTATTTGATTATTAGTAGAATTAAAGCTTGATCACTGTCTTGTTATTTCTGCCCTATTTGGAATCGGAGATATACTGTGTTAGGAATATTATATGCAGGTAAGAAAAATCAATTTGAGTTTTAAGATACTTTTTCATTGATTTAAAAAGAACTTCATCAGTATATTCATCAACAAATTGAAGTGGAAGTTATTTATACCGATTTGAAAAAGATTCCTCCTGAATACCTTTGAAATAATCATTGCCAAACAAGTCAAAATATAGTAGGTATACATCCGTTACATTCATTCAAAACAATTGAACTATATTTTTTTTTCATCTGGTGGCACTTCATTGTTGAAATCATAAAAAAAATATTCTCATGGCTATATATTATATCTGTTGATTTTGGGTATTTTTTGTGACTGTTAGCCTTGTGAGATTTCGAATTTTTGAGTTGTCATTACTTTGTTATTTATGAATGTTTTTCCATGAAATTTTGGTCACACCTGTATAGAGGCACTCTGTATCCAGTGGCGTAGTGATTTTTTAAATAAAAAAATCGGTAATGAATAATTTTCGACTAAGAAAAAATATCGTAGTATGCCGTGGAAATTGGAATGAACATTTCAAATTCGTCCCAAGGTAGATCTCAAAGTAAAAAAAGATATTGAAATCGGTTTACAACTCCAAATTTTTCATCAAAATGGGTCACACTGTATATAAAATGACAACTCATTTTCAGGAAGCAATCAATCACTCAAGTATCCGAAATGCCTCTGCGTGAGATGAAGGTAGCACCAGCGACTAAGAATAATACCAAAGAAAAGCATCTATGCCTTTGTGAAGTTCTGGCACCCATTCTTATCATAGCAAAACTAGTAGGCCTCTTTCCCCTCACAAGCACTCACCAAGGGGGTAGATGTGTCTATCAGAAGTCTTGGTACTGGATAGCATACACTGCTGGACTAGCCAGCTTCTACCTGTACCAGCTCCTGATGAACTTCGATTACATCCACATCATGAGTAACAAGGGATTCATGCAGATACTGCGGGATATAGTGAACTTGCTCTTCGCATATTGTATGCTGCTGCTGTTGCTGCTATCATTCTTGCAGATCCCGAAATACATCAAGTTTTTCGATAAGATGTCAGATGTTTTTAAAGATGGGATATTCTGCCAGTCTGCTAGACGAGTCGCTTTACTAACGGACTACATCTTGACTGTCTTCACCTTCATTATAATGATAGTACAAATTGGCATGTTTCATTGGTTATCACAATCAACCAACTTTGAAACTTCTATCCTAACCTACATCTTCGAATTACAGTTCTCGCAAAATATTTCAGTGATGTTCTATTGTAGCTATGCATCGATTATTTCTGTTATATTGGGGACCTTGGCTTGTTTCGAAAAACTGCTGATGGCTTCCGTTCAATCTGTTCCTGTACATCCTGTTAAAGGAATTTCTGACGATGATAATCGCCGGACCTTATTAGGTATATTCAAGTTCCGACTTTGCAGAAGCGATCATGTATGCCCATCTGGATATTCACTCTTGAGTCGAGCTGAACTTGTTGAATATTTGAGGATTTTTCATCAGGATATCTGTTCGGCCATTTACTGTTACAATGATTGCATGAATCCTGCTTTTTTATTGCATACTGTTGTCGAATTGATTGCCATTATCATCGATTACTATGCCATGGTGGTTTATTTGGTGTACGATTTTTCTGATCCTCTCAGCCGTCCCAATCATTTTATCAGTACTGTATCTGGTTTACTTCATACCGTTGGACTGTATTTGTTTCTGAAGAATGGACAACATATGAAGAATATGGTGAGTATATCAATTTTACTGAACTGAAGTCTCAATTTCGGTTTAATTTATCGAGTTGAAATTTGACTCTACTTGACTGAGTGAAATGGTAATTTGACGATTGGAATAGAGTCAGAAGTCCACAGCCTAATTCTCTAGATTTTTAGAATGTTCTCTCCTCTCTTTATGAATGAAAATGTCAGAGATGGCGAATTAGCACAGTGGTTGAGGCGATGGACTAGTGATAGAACATCAAATCTTTATCTATAAAACGAGTTTTGAATTAAAATTTTCTATAGAAAAGCCGATCTCACTGTGCCCAACATAGGCTTGTCAGGGGTAACCATACCTTTGAAGACATCCATATCGATGCTATACTATATCAGCAATAAGCTTTCTTGGGAAAATCACGTGAGATCAATTGCTAAAAGTACAACCCAAAAACTTGGTTTTCTGTTTCGTGCCAGGAGCTATTTCACTTCCAGAGTCAGCTGCATAAGGCACGAATCCGACCTGCCCTTGAATACTGTTCCCGTGTTTAGAGTGCAGCACCCAAACATACCCTGGAACTGTTGGATTCTGTCCAAAAAAGGTCAATTCGTCTCGTGGGTGATGCCTCCCTCACAAACTCACTCACTTCTCTGGAACACCGTATAAAAGTTGGCGATCTGGCTCTATTCTATGGATATATTCATGGACGATGCTGTTCTGAAATATCAACAATTTTTCCTCCCTTGGCAGTCCCCACAAGATCAACCCGTCGAGTTGAAGCTTCGAACCCCTTCGTGGTCACTTTGGAGACCTACAGAACATCTCTTTCCAGAGACTCGTTCATCCAACGAACAACGAGGCTCTGGAACACATTGCCAAGGGAGGTGTTTTCCAGGGCATATAACCTCCAGAAATTCAAGAAAAACACCAATTTCTACCTTACTTCCCTTGGTTCTCACGGTGTTCTCTGAACTTTACAGGATTTCCCTTTTCGTGGGAATCACGAAAGAAAAACAAAGTTCTTGACAAGGTTTCACAGGACCAGTAAGGTTCTAATAAGACTTGTAATGTAATGTTTTTCAATATTTTTAATATTTTTTCAAAAATAGTGCAGTGTTTTAAGTTACTATGATGTGCATTAGCTGTTTTCCATGTAACCACTCAAGTTAATGTCTTGATAATGAAAATAAAATTTTTCGAAAGCTCGACAATTTAACAAAGAGTCTTTTCTCTACATTGGCCATTCCCTTTGACTGAAACCTCAAGGAAAATAGAGATTTTAGCTGTTTTCCTAACACATAGTTTTCTTCAACTAGTCCAGTCAGGAGACTACCCTTTCACTAAATATATAATAATAATAATAATAATAATAATAATATATTTATTGTTCATTCATATATACAATACATGAACAAGGGCGGTGGCATGGGAATGAGTGGTCATATTATTAAGTACAATAGAGAGACAGAAAAATAAAATGAAATAAAATAGATGGAAATCAAGTCATAATAATTATCTACCTGCCTGATTGGTGACAAAATAGGGAACACCCCTCAACAACGGTTGGATGATCACATCCAGTTTCGCATCAATATTGATCCTATTCATTAACTATGAATGCTCTAAGTTTCATCGCTCCGCTCAGGAATTGGTACAGTTTGGTGAGTATGGAGAAATCTGTTGATGATAGTATCGAGTCTAAGTCGTCTGAATGTCCTCTAGGTTCGATCATGTTGCTTCTTAGATTTGCATACATCGGGCAGATCAGCAGTATGTGTTCGAGAGTTTCTGGTAATAAGCAATTACAAATTGAACAGATGGCATTTGTTTCTATTTTATATGAGTTGTTATTAACATATATAAATAGCTTTTCAGTGTTGGCTGTTCGAAGCTGAGCTACAATTCTCTCAATATGTAGTGGGCCTGCGTAGCATAAGTAATTAGTATTATCACATTCATTCTGTAGAAGGAATTTATAGATAGGGTGATGAATACTGAGCAGTATTTTATTTTGATCTTCTCGGGTATTTTTGTTTAGGTAACAGGTTAGTATGGTTTGTTTCGTGGTTCGATTGATATCGTTAATGTTCAAATCTAAATCACAGTAGGTAATAAGACAACGGTGCAGATGGTCAGCCCAGTTGTATTTCAGATTATTGTTCCCTGACTCTTGCAGTTCAATTAGATGACGAAGCGCTCGGTGCACATATCTTTTAGAATCTTTGTTTTTTATTCTTAGCAGAAACTCTATGGCTTGTTTTATTATGTGATATCCTATTTTACATGATTTAGTTTCTGTTCTGATTATATGTGCCCCTGTAGTTTTTTGCAAGAATAGAAGATTTCTCCAGAAATTATTTTGTATCTTCTCGGTTTGTTCCAGGTAACGGAGTCCCCATATACTACTATAGCATATGTGAAAGTAGGAATTACAACATTAATTGTTATACAAAGTTTTTATATTTTCAAGAGAGGATATTTTAGAGCAATTAATAGTTTTCAAAACCACCCCTTGGGAGAATCTGGCTTTTTGTTCTCGTTGCTTAAAGTTATTCAGGAATAAGCCGTTGAAAGTAAAGGTGACACCTAAGTATTCGTACGTGTTTGACAGATCTATTGCAGTATTTTTATATATGAATTGGGGTTGATAGCCAATATTTGGGCTCCTACGAAATATGACTATTTTTGTTTTTGATGAATTGACCTCAAGTTTCAGATTATCACAATATGACTCAAGAATTTTCAAGTTTCTTTTTAGTTCTATCTGGGATTCTGCAAAAAGTACCAAGTCATCAGCATATAGTAGCATGTTTATATTTTCGCCATCATCTAGAGTTACTCCTTTGGCACCATGTTCTCTAAAGTATTGGCTAATATCAGAGATGAATAATGAGAAAATTAACGGACTAAGAGTATCTCCTTGTAGAACCCCTTTGGTGATCTTGATTTTTTCCGACATTTTACCATCTTGTTCAATAGACAGAGTCGCTGAGCTATACAATAATTTCAGAATTCTAACAATCTTTGCGCTTATACCATTAGCAAATAATTTTCCCCACAGCACGCTGTATTCCAGCGTGTCGAATGCTTTTCTAAAATCTACAAAAAGTGCGAACAGTTTCCTGTTTGGGAGACGTAAGTAGTTATTTATTATCGTTGACAAAACAAAAATGTTGTCATCACAGCTTCTGGATTTGCGGAATCCTGCCTGACACTCTGGTAATAGTTCGAGGTTTTCAACAAAGTTTGTGAGTCTATTGTTAATGAGTTGTGTGAGCAATTTTGTTTTGTGATTCATTAAAGCTATATTACGGTAGTTATTTGGGTCATCTTTTGGTCCTTTTTTATGAAAATGAATCATTTTTATGTTAGTCCAAGAGGGTGGTATCTCTTCCTCTGAGAAAATTTTATTGAAAAGATGTTTTAAGCGCATTATCCAGTCCAGGGGTAGATTTTTGTAAAATTCGTTACTGATGTTATCTTCCCCTGGGGCTTTGTTATTTTTTGCTATGTTTAGAGTCAGAAAAATTTCTGCGTTGGAAAATGCCGTATCTAGGTAAGGGTGCAGAGCGTCTAGGTATTGAGTTGTAATGTCTGGGGTAGGTCTATAAAAATTTTTATAATAATTCATCATAGTGTTCGGGTCGATACCGCCTCTAATATTTTTACTCTTATTGAGGTTAATGTATTTCCAGAATTCGTTAGGGTTATTTATAGATTCCAGCTTTATTCTTATACCTTTCTCATATTGATATTTTTTACTTCTCAACATTTGTTTATATTCTTTTTTAGTTATTCTGTATTCCAAGACAGTGGCTTTTTCAAAATTTGATCTACTCAAATTTTTCTTAGCTTTATTCAAAAGTTTTTTGGCTTCCCTACATGATTGATCGAACCAAGGTTTACATTTTGAGATGATGTTAGCATTAAAGGTTTGCTTTTTTTCCATGCCTAAAAATTGTAGTGTTAATGTGATTGCTTCATGTAATTGAGTATCTAAATCTTCTGTTGAATCTAATTGAGAATTGAGGCCATAATTAGTAATTATATTTCTATATGAGTTTGATTTTGAAGGATCCCATCTTACTATAGTCTTGGTATAGCTTTTTGAGGATGGAATAGCTTTAGTCTGCTGAAAGTTGATTTCTAAGGTCAATACACAAGCCAAATGGTCAGAAATTAGGTTTTTGTTTATAAAGAAGTTTGAAATAAGCTCTTGACTACTGAAGTTTGCCCAGATTAAATCGACCACACTATTGCCACTCGGCCCGACATATGTATAGTTACCCTCGTGATCTTGGTGCCTGCCATTCAGTACATAGAAACTTAGGTTTTCTAGGGCTTCAACAAGTAACGTTCCTCGTGCATTTATTACCTTATCCATTGAGCCACGGGCTTCTAAAGGGAAGTCAAAATTTTGGTGGTGTCGATCCTCGAATCCATTCAGACGACCTATCCTGGCATTGAAATCACCACATATAGCTATATAATCATCAGGGTATTCAGCAATTATATCTCTAATGGTTTCTTCAAATAATTCGATACAGATGTGATCATCCAACCCAGGCTTCAAATATATAAGTCCTAAAATAATATATATATTATCTATACAAAATCTTACAAAGATCCACATATTACTTATTTCAATTATATTTGCATTACTTAAGCCTACAATTTTTTTTGATACTAGCAGTAAGATACCCCCACTACCTCTTCCCTTCTGTTTGTCTTTTATAGCTTGACTATGGTACATGTTATAATTTGATAATATTTGCGGTAACTTGGGTTCCGGTGAAGAAATCCATGTTTCTACAAGACCGATAATGGGATACTTTAAAAGGTGCTCACATTCTTCCATTTCTAAATTGTTTATAGTGTTTATACCTTGACAATTCCAAAATAATATATTTAATTTTGTGAATTCGTCGTGAGAGTTATCTTCAGTTATCTCTGAAAAGTTTTCTTCACGGTTAGCTATATTGTTTTTTCTCATTCTTGGTTTTTTACTATTTATAACTCTATCTTCTGCTGTACTTGAATTTTGTTGATTTTCCTTAATCTTCTCAAATTTTCCATCTTCTTCATCCCTTTCTTGGTTTGCTACCGTTTCTAATGTTCTAATAATTGTATGAGTCAGTTTTTTGATGGTGTTTCGAATCTTCCTTCAGTTCTACTCACTTTCCTTGATTCTGCTAATTCAAGTTCTGGGGTTCTTTCGCTGTATTTTCTTCCTCTAGATTTATCAAGTGGTATGTTTTCTTTGGCTACATTACCAGCTCTCATTTGCTTGTTCAACGTAAGTGATTCCACAGTATATGAATCTCCATTTATGTATAGTCTGTTGTAGTTCAAATTAGCTTTGTGCCCTCTTTGTCTTGCTTGTTTCATTTCTTCTTTAAGTATCTTTCTTTGTTCTTGTATGTGTTTTGAGAAATCCTCAGTTAGAAATACTCCTGTACCTTTCAGTTTTTTAGCCTCCCTTAGCATTTCATTTCTAAGTGACCCGCTTTTAAGTTCTACCATGATTGGTCGATCCTTATTATCGATACTCTTACCCATTCTGCTGATATCAGCTACATCTTCTCTTTCATTTATTCCTATTTCTATTTTGCTTGCTATGTCTTTGACTATCTTTCTCAAGTTTTCATTAGGGTTGTCTCTTTCTTCTTTAATTCCATAGATAATGAGGTTCTTTTTCCTGATTTCCCTTTCAATGTCATCTATTCTAACTTGTTGTCTCATTTGTTCCTGTTTGAGATCTCGATTTTCTTTTTTTATTTGCAAATTTTCCAGTTTGATATTTCTCAAATCATCATGCATTGCGTTAAGTTTGTCATCAATTTTTGATTCCATATTTTTTATTTGTTTAAGTATTTCCTCCATGGCTTTGTGTCCTGTACAGAGTTATGTATAGCACGTACTCAATTCTGAACTAGACCCCTATCCAGGCTGACAAAGTCAATGGTTCTAAACAAATATATTTTGTTAATTTATTCCAATATTTATTCGATTTTGTTTTTGAAGCCGACCCTGTACTTATTCATCCAGTTCTTGTTGCTCTCTTATCTCTATTCGTTTTTTGCTATTTCGTTGGTTTGATGAATTGAAGTCTGGACTGTCGATTTAATTTGTATTGTTTTAATCGATTAATGAGTATTTAACCTTTCTGATTCAATTCTCGTAGACTATGTTTTTACTCACGTTAATCGAATCCTTTATTGTCCACTGTTTATACTTTTCACTATTTGATGATGCGTTATTCTTCTATTATACGTGAAAAATTACGGATCGAAATGAATGTGTGTATATTCACTCACTACCAGGACCGGACCCCCCACTAAATATATATATATATATATATATTCATTTATAAATAAAAACTGAGTGAACTGAATAATCAACAAGTAGGTTGAACGGTAGAGCAGACGCCGCAGCCTGCAGTTGTGCAGTGTTGTGGTGAACTGAGTTCAACCTTTTTGCCTTCCATATTTTTTTTTTCAATATGCATTGTAATAACAACGTGAAGGTAAATAAACGTGATTTATTATTATTATTATTATTATTATCTCTTTCCAAAGACTCGTTCATCCAACGAACAGCGAGGCTCTGGAACACATTGCCAAGGGAGGTGTTTCCCGAGGCATTTAACCTCCAAAAATTCAAGAAGAACACCAATTCCTACCTTATTTCCCCTTGGTTCTCACGATGTTCCCTGAACATTACAGGATATCCCTTTTCGTGGGAACCAAAACATAAAGAAAAACTTCCATTGACAAAGAATTCCAAAGCTTCGCCGTTCTATAGACGAACGAGTTTTGGAAGAGTGTTGTTCGACATATTTCAAGAATAACGACGAAAGGATGCACTGACTGGGCCTGTTGTTTTTATTTATAAATCCCCTGTATAAGCTTGTGTTTAGCACCCCTTAAATCTTTCTGGGTTTT